CATTACCCCTCCTCCTCCTCCTCCTCCTCCTCCTCCTCCTCCTCCTCCTCCTCCACCTCTTCCTCCTGTGGTGCCGATCCGAGAAATCCGCGCGGACCTCCGAGTTGTCATGGTTACGTCATTCTGCTCTCCCCTAGCACTGGGAGAAGCCTGCAGCTCTCCAAGAGGCGCCCTAGCGGGCCCCGACGACAGCCCGTGCGCGACAAATGTCGACACACAGCGACCACAAGTCAAACATGTGTGGCCTCGTTTGGAGCTTTGTTCGGGATCCCTTGGGGCTCCAATCGGCTGCACTCAAGATTGACCCTGGGCAAGAGTGACCTTTGGCGCGCGGCTTTACTGCCAGTGCTCGCCTTTCGCGACGCTGATGGGCCAGCATTGTAGTAGAGATGACGTCGGGCTCCAGTTTCGCCTCCTGCATCTCGCTGAGCAGCGCAAGAGCCCGCTGCCACTGTTCGCCCTTCTCGCACGCGCTGATACCAGCGCTGTAGCTGACTGGTGTGAACCCGTGGAAAATCCACGGCTGGCAGATCAGGGTGTCGGTGCCGAACGCGCACGTGTCTCTGCTCGCAGGCGGCGCGTGCGCGTTCGGGACCCACAGGCCCTCGGGTTTGCTGCAGGCTCTGGGCTCAATGAGGAGGAGGAGGAGGAGGAGGACCAGAGGAAACCCAAGAGTCATCAACGATGTTGGAATCAACCCTCCCTCCAAGCTCCCTCTCCACAAGCCCCTACAACGGTTCATTTCCACTGAGGAAACTGCCTCGTTGAAAGACAACCGTTGGAAGACCCTGTAGCCTGCCAAGACAATGTTCTCGGGATTCCAACGCCACGGATCAACCTGACTGTTGCGTCTTGGCGATCTTGAATCGTGCCAGAGCACCGTTTCCTGAGACTTCAACTCAGCGAATCAACGTGACTGTTGCGCCCTCATAATCCTCAATATTTCCAACACTATCGTTTTTGGCATGCTGGCCATGGGGATCCGTGAAAGTCTTGACAACATTGAAAAAATGTGCACGGCACTAAGGCGAGAGCCACATTTTGAAAACCAACCGCCCTCAATCCGTGATTTTTTTTGCAAATTAAATGATACCAGAGAAAAACCCAATCAGATTTTTGTTGGGGCAATGGGGCTATATGGGCTATATGGCTATAGGGGTATAGTGATATAGGGCTATTGGGCTATAGGGGCTATAGAACCTTAGGGATATAGGGCTATAGGGCTCTAGAGCTATAGGGCTCTAGAACTCTAGGGCTATAGGGCCATAGTGCTATACGGCTGTAGGGCTATAGGGCTATAGGGCTACTGGGCTATTGGGCCCCCCGAGCACCCCCGGGCACCCGGGCACCCGGGCCCGGCCACCGAAATTGGCCACGCACCTCACCGGCCACCCGGGCACCCGGGCACCGCCGGGCACCCGGGCACCTGGGCCCGGCCACCAAAATCGGCGACAAACCTCCCCTAACCCTTTAATCCGCTAGGACCCCTACATTGGCAAGCTCTGACTATGAAAAAGTGCGGCGCTGAGGCGAGAGCCACATTTTGAAAACCATCCGCCCTCAATCCGTGAAACTCTTGCAAATTGTTGACAATGAATGTGCGCGGCGCTAAGGCGACATCCACATTTTGACAACCACCCGCCCTCCATTTGTAAAAATGTCGTCAGTTTTAAAGCTTCAGGGTCATAAACGGTGAGGAAATCTCAGGCGATGCGCCCGGCCCGCCCTAAAAACTGGCCTCGGGGTGCGACAGGGAGAAGTTATTTATAAGGAAAAGGAATGGGGAGGAGAAAGAGGAGGAGGAGGAGGAGGAGGAGGAGGAGGAGGAGGAGGAAGAGGAAGAGGGCAGGCTCCGGGCTCAAGGGCTGGAGGCTGCCTGCGAGTGTGTGGGGAGGGTCGGGGGTGTCTCGGAGCGGTCTTTGGAGGGGCCTCGTAGCATCGACGGCTGCGGGTAGCCTGCAGTCCGGTCTCGCTGCATGCTTTCGCAGGAGGAGGAGCAGGAGGAGGAGGAGGAGAAGGAGGAGGAGGAAGAGGAGGAGGAGGAGGAGGAAGGAGGAGAGGAGGAGGAGGATGAGGAGGAGGAGGAGGAGGAGGGAGGAGGAGGAGGAGGAGGTAGGAGGAAGGAGAGAAGGAGGAGGAGCGAGGAGGAGGAGGAGCGAGGAGGAGGAGGAGGAGAGAGGGAGAAGGAGGAGGAGGAGAGGAGGAAAAGGAGGAGGAGGAAGAGGAGGAGGAGGAGGAGGAGGAGGAGGAGGAGGAGGAACGCGGTACCAGAGAGGGTGGGGGGGCCCCTTGGAAAGTAGGAAGCTAAGCTGAGGCAGAGAAGGTAGGAGAAGGTCCCCCTTGTCACCCTTATTTGGAGCGAGGGGGCTCGAGACGTGCTGGGGTGCCCTCGTGGGCCATCCCTTTTCTTCAACACCTCGGGGAGCCAGCCCTCTTGGGCCATTGGGGGGCCTCCACGGCCGTCGTGGTGTTGCAGCTCGGCTGGGGACCTCTTGAGCAGCTCCTGGGGCGTCTCGGGGGGGCCACCTGAAGCTATATCAAGCCGTTTGGGGCCAATATTTAGAGGGTAAGCCCTTTTGGGCCGTCTTGATGGGGCCACTCGGGGAGGAAGAGGAGGAGGAGGAGGAGGAGGAGGAGGAGGAGGACGAGGAGGATTTTGTTAGAGCACGACCGCTGCGCTGAATGCCTTAAGCACACTAAAAAGTGTCTTGTAAGATGGTCACTCCTTTCTCTTTGGGATGGAGGCCTTTACAAATATGGTTCCAGCTGTGCGGGCTATACGTGTAGACTTCACCAGTCTTCTTGTCCTTGCGAGGGCCAGCGCACAGCTCTCCAAGTTTCGCAAGACGGGCGCCAGAAGTATAACATTTACAGACAGTGCAAACGACCAGGAGCGATCCCTTCGAACGGTCAAACAGCACACATGTATGACCGAGATCCTTAAGAGGCTGCACGTTGACTCGGGGATCCTGGGAACAACGACCTGGAGGGGGCTGGACATTGCTGGCGCACCGGCAGGTCCGAAGGCACGACGGACATTGCCAAAAACGTTGCGAGCCAGCTGGCGGGCCCATCCACTGCCACTGGCGGGGGGTGGACACTGCACGAATCGAGGCTTCACGCGGGTTGGACCAGGCCACCTCTGAGAGGTCAGTTCTGGGCCACATCGGCAGAAGCACGGCGGCTAGGCGGCATACAAATTGCGAGTACTTGACATTCAAATCTATGGTTGCGGCGACCTCTTCGCTCGGAGTGGGATGGCTGCTGGCTCCCAGGCGCGCCGCCCTGTCAGCGGCGTCGTTTCCCACGCGGCGAAGTCGCTCGGCTTCGTCGAGGCCTGCTTCATCTAAAGCCAGATGCGCTTTGACCTTCTCGCACCCAAGCATCCGCTGCTCCCCCGAAGCCCGGCCCTGCATCACCAACCCCACATACGGACGCTTGGAAGAGAAACGCAAAAAATCGTGCGGCGCAATCTCCAACCGAGAGTCATATACTGCCGGGCAGACCCACAAACCATGGTACAGAGTGTCGCCCGGCGCGCGACAGAAAAGACAAGCGTCGGCAATGGCGTACCCCGCCATGCGTGCCCTTGACATTGTCCAAGTACCCTGGCAGGCGAGACATCAAACCATGCCTTTCTGGCGGGCAGAGAGCTTCTTGGACCTCAGGGTTTTCAAAACGACGTCGAAACAAAAGTGCTTCACGTTCTCTTCTCCATACTTCGACGTAGCTTCGCACTCCTGATTCCTCGTAGAAGCCTCACGGAGAGGATGTTTGAGGAGAGCGGGAGGGGTGAGAGTCAGGGCGCGGTGGGTACCGGCTCGAAAAAGAACTCGAAAAAGAGGAAGCCGAGGCAAAGAACTTAGGAAAAAGGTCCCCCTCGTCACCCCTAATCGGCGCGAGGGGGCTCGAGACGTGCTGGAGAGCCCCCGTGGGCCATCCCTTTTCAGCTCGCGGAGCCCTCTTGGGCCATTGCGCGGCCACCTTGGACCGCAGAGGGGCCCTCTCGGGCCGTTCAGGGGGCCTCCATGGCCGTCGAGGGGCCCCGGTGAAGCTCTGGGGCCTTGTCGGAGCTCGGCTGGGGCCCTGTTGGGCAGCTCCCGGGGCGTCTCGGGGGGCCACCGGGATCTCTCGCAAGCTGTCCGGGGCCGGTCTTGGGGGCATGGGCCCCTCTTGTGCCGTCTTGGTGCGCTCGTCGGGGCCCGGCGGGCAATCTTGGGGCGATCGTAGAAGTTGGAATCGCGCGGGGCCGTCCTGGGCCTGTCATTGGAAAACTGCGCAGAAACATTCGAACACACACACACACACCCTCACACACAGACAAACAGACAGACAGACAGACAGACAGACAGACAGACAGACAGACAGACAGACAGACAGACAGACAGCCTTTCCAGCCCGACAGGCAGACAGACAGACAGACAGAGTCTGTCTCGGGCTCCCACGTCGCTGGGGCGCCGCCTCGAGGGCGCGCCCCAGCCGGGCCTGGGGGGGCCAGGGCCATGACGCGGAGGAGCGCGCCGCTGTCCGGGGCCGAAAAGCGCGAGGAGGAGAAGAAGAAGGAGGAGGAGGAGGAGGAAGGAGGAGGTGAGGGAGTATGACAGGGAGGAGGAGGAGGAGGAGGAGGAGGAGGAGGAGGAGGAGGAGGAGGAGGAGGAGGAGGAGTACAGATGACGTTGGGCACCAGTTTCGTCTCCCACATCTCGCGGAGCAGCGCAAGAGCCCGCTGCCATTGCTCGCCTTTCTCGCACGCGCTGATCACAGCGGTGCAACTGATGCCGTCGAATTCCAGCTTCGTCTCCCGCATGTCGCAGAGCAGCGCCAGCGACTGCTGCCACTGCTCGCCCTTCTCGCACGCGCTGATCCCAGCGCTATAGCTGACTAGGGCTGAGCAGTGGATTACGTACACGTGATTAAATCGAAGTGGGTTTGGCTGTGACGGGGGGAGTGATGACGAGAGGCCCTCCTCTTAGGCCGTGCATGTGGCCGTCTTGGGGCCAAATGGGGATCTTCTTAGGCACCTGTTCTATGTTTCGTGGGATCACTTGGGGCTCCATCAGGCGTGGATCTGAATTGTGTGTTGGAGGAAGCTCGGAGGCGCTCGGGAGTTGCCTGGGGCATGTTGGGCTGTCCTGGGCCGCCGTGGGCCCGTCTTGGGGCCACCTTGGCGGTCGCTTGGATCGTCTCGGGGCCACCTGGGCCGGCTTGGAGCCCTGTTGCGCAATCTGGGGCTCTCGTTGGGAATTCCCGGGCCGTCCTGGAGCCATGCTGGCCAATTCGAGCCGACGGGCGGCCCTCTTGGGCCGCCTTGGGGCGCTCTTGGGCGCTCTTGGAGCTCCAGGGGCCGTCTTAGATAACACTTGGGCGGCTCATCGCCTCTTCTCGCAAGTCTGAGGGGACCCTGGGACACACAAATACATACACACAGATCAAAGGATTCCCCGTATTGTTCCTGTATGTTCTGGGTCCTTGTCTTCCCCCCCACTTCCCACATTTCCCCTATATCTTCCTGGGGATCGACGATGAGTTGTGTCTGTGTGTTTTTTCCCCCTCCTGCAAATCTCGGAGCTCTCCCTGTGGGCTTCCCGAGGGGCGGTCTGCGAGCGCCATGGGCGGCGAACACGGGGCGCGCCGTGGCCCGCCGGGCCGAGCTTCGTCCGCCCGGCTGTGGCCAGCGCTCTGGTGCGCGGCGCCCCGAGGAGGACGGGGAGGAGGACGGGGAGGAGGAGCATGGAGGAGGAGGAGGAGGAGGAGGAGGAGCATGGAGGAGGAGGAGGAGGAGGACGAGGAGGAGGAGGAGGAGGAGGAGGAGAGGAGCATGGAGTAGGAGAATGGAGGAGGAGGAGGAGGAGGAGGGAGGAGGAGGGGAGGAGGGAGGAGAGGGAGGGGGAGGGAGGAGAAAGGTGGAGGAGGTGATAAGAGGTAACGTCTGCCTCCAGCTTCACCTCTCGCATCTCGCCGAGTAGCGCCAACGCCCGCTGCCACTGGTTGCCTCTGCATGCGCCGACAGTTGCCATGTGACAGCCCAGACCGACATTCGAGCGTGATTGAAAAGCTTCGTATAGAATGTTCAGCGCCTCGCTCCATTGCCGTAACCTCCCACACTTATTTATGGCCACATCGATGGAATAACCGCTTTGGCCTGCTGGTCGCAGGACGTCTAGCATCCAAGAAATATTGTAGTACAATTGGTTGAACCGAATTAATTTGAGAGTGTGGGGGGAAGGATGGAAGAAGGGGGAGGAGAGAGGGGGTTCGGGACAAGCTAAGTGCGATCGGATCATATCTGACGTCCTACCCCTCCCTCCCATCCATTACCATGGCGTAGATCTCCTCTCTATTCGCTCAGTCGGATGTCGCAGCAGGGCATAGCATTACATGGCATAGCATGGTGTTGAAGATCAACACGTATCCTGACATAGCATGGCGTGGCGACGCCCCAAAGTGGTGGGGGGTGGCTTCTGCGGCCAAAAAAATCAACGAATCGACACCGAATGTGTAATCACTTCCCATATTTTTTGCCGGGAGGGGGTCATATTATAGATTTTGGGCCTATTTGGCAAGACCGAAAATCGTGCTGTGGCATGGCGCTCGGAATTATGACGCCAACGCAGCAGCGGGAGCACGATTCGGAACGAGCGGAAGCGCGGAAATGAGACCAGCGCAGCAGCGGGAACAAGATTCGGAACAACCTGTAGCCCGAAAATGAGGCCAGCGCTTCAGCGAGAGCAGCATTTCGAAAAAAAACAAACGAAAACCCGTTTCCCGGGAATCCAGTGTAATAAGCAAATACGCGGAGGGGGGCCGAACATTTCCCGGACTTCACCAGAGGGGAGCGGAGAGTAGTATTCATATGGTGTGATTGTAGAGGGGCGGGGGGGGAGGGGGGGAGGAAGAGAGAGAGGGACAGCACAAAATAGGTGCGCCCGCGCCGCAAATTGCATCATACCGTCATTCCCATCTCCTCTCCATCGTGCTCAAATATTTTCGCATATCCAAATCAGGTATTGAATGACACCTTGACCCTTGAATGACATTTACAACCCGATGGGGCCCAGGGGTCAGGCGCGCATATGAAGGGGGACAACGACTTGGGATCCTGAAGAACTGCGCGGATTCCTTGGGGATCAGAGACACCCAAGGACATCCTGAGGCACAATCCAGAACTCCCCAGCAATTGTCTTGACATCCGCGGCAAGACCCAGGACTTTGCCTGGAAAGCGCACCTGCCACGGAGGGCGGTGCAGGGCAAGGAACTCCCTACAGTTAGGTTGGTAATGAAAATTCTGATCAGGAGGCTCATGGGTTACTGGCGGTGGGGACGTGGATCGCTCTACCTGCCGCCTGAAACGAGGGCCGTCACATCCCCGCCAGGGCCGCGCGCGCTCACGAACCGCGCCCCAGGATGAGCCCGCGCGCTCACGAACCGCGCGGGCTCATCCGCAGTAGCTCATTGTCATCACCCCGCGCATCCTCAATCTTCCTCGTCCTCCGCAGCCTCACCATCACAATTATCCGCCTGTTCAGCCCTCTTAGGATTCTCATCCTCACCATGCTTTGCATCGTCCTCGTCATCATACTCACCCTTCTCGCCCGCATCCTAATCTTCCTCATCCTCCATACCCATCGTCCTTGGCATCGTCCTCCTCATCCCCTTCGTTCTCGTCCTCATTATGGTTAGCACCATCCGCATCTCCATCCATCGGAGGTGAGGGGGTGAGATCGAAGTGGAACGGAGAGCCCCCCTACCCGGAAATCGGATTCGTTTTCGTGTTCGTGCGTGCCGTGCGTGCGGGCGAGGCGAAGCTGCGTGGGCGGGCGAGAAGGAAGTCTCCTCCGGCTGACGCGCGGCCGGACTAAATGATTCCTCTCCGGGGGCCGGTGGCGCGCGGTGCCCCGCCGGTGTCCCGCCTCCGGCTGAGGCACGGCTGGACCAAATGTTTCCTCTCCGGGGGCCGGTGGCGCGCGGTGTCCTGCCTGTGTCCCGCGGGTGTCCCGTCGGTGTCCCGATGATGACGATGATGATGTCGATGAGTTGATGATGATGATGATGATGATGATGATGATGATGATGGTGATGATGATGATGATGATGATGATGGTGGTAGTGGTGGTGATGGTGGTGAGGATGGTGTCCCGATGATGGTGATGATGATGTTGACGATGTTGATGATGATGATGATGAAGGTGATGGTGGTGATGATGATGGTGTCCCGATGGTGATGATGATGTTCATGATGCTGATGATGTTGTTGATGATGATGAGGGTGTCCCGATGATGATTATAATTCTGATGTTGATGATCATGATGATGTTGATGGAGATGATATGAAATGATGATGATGATATGATGATGATAAAGATGATGATGGTGGTGTCCCGATGATGGTGAGGTTGATAATGATGTTGTTGATGCTGTTGGTGATGATGATGGTGTCCCGATGATGCTGTTGAGGATGACCATGACGGTGTCCTGATGATGATGATGATGTTGATGATGAGGATGCTGATGAGATGCTGATGATGTTTTTGATGACAGTGGCCCGATGCTGGTGATGATGATGATGGTGCTGCTGTTGACGATGATGATGATGGTGTCCCACTGATGATGCTGATGGTGATGCTGATGATGATGGTGACGATGATGTTGGTGTCCCGATGATGATGTTGCTGATGATGGTGATGGTGCCCCGGTGATGATGATGATGGTGTTGATGATGCTGTCCATGATGATATGATGATTGTGGTGTTCCGATGATGGTGTTGATGGTGTCCCGATGATGATGATGATGATGCTGACGATGATGGTGCCCCGATGATGCTTATGCTGTTGATGGTGATGCTGGTGATGATGATGTTGATGATGATGGGGATGAAGTGCTGATGATGATGGTGTCCCGATGATGGTGATGATGATGATGATATTGATGATGAGTTTGATAACGTTGATGACGATGATGTTGATGTTGATGGTGGCGTTGGTTGTGTGATCGATTGCGATATCGATAGTGAGATCGATAGTGAGATCGATTGTGAGATCGATAGTCAGATCGATTGTGAGATCGATCGAATGAAATAGATCGAATGAGATCGATTGTGATATCGACTTGAGTGAGATCGATCGAGCGAGACCGATCGTGGGATCGATAGCGAGATCGATAGTGAGACCGATCGAGTGAGACGTCGGTTCCTCCCCCCCCCCGAACCTCCTTATTGCCCGAAGGGTGGTCGTGTAGGTCGGAGGTGAGGGGGTGAGATCGAAGTGGAACGGAGAGCCCCCCCACCGGGAAATCGATTTCGGTTTCGTGTTCGTGCGTGCCGTGCGGGCGAGGCGAAGCTGCGTGGGCGGGCGAGAGAAAGTCTCCTGTGGCTGAGGCGCGGCCGGAACAAATGTCTCCCTTCCGGGCGGCCGGGGGCCCGCGGTGTCCAACCGGTGTCCCGCTGGTGTCCCATGTGGCTGAGGCGCGGCCGGACCAAATGACTCCCTTCCGGGCGGCCGGGGGCCCGCGGTGTCCCGCCGGTGTCCCGTCGGTGCCCCGTCGGTGTCCCGATAATGATGATGTTGGTGATGATCATGATGGTGGTGTTGATGGTGATGATGATGACACGATGATGGTGTCCTGGTGATGATGATGTTGATGATGATGATGAGATGACGATGATTTTGATGTTCTGCCCCTTGTTGTTGATGATGATGTTGGTAATGCTGATGCCGCTGATGATGATTATGGTATCCCGATGATGATGATTATGACGGTGGTGATGATGATGGTGATGGTGATGGTGTACCGATGGTGATATTGATGATGATGTTGGTGATGATGATGCTGCTGATGATGGTGGTGTCCCGATGATGTTAATGATGCTGTTGATGATGATGATGATGATGATGATGATAATGAGCTGATGATGATGATGGGGTCCCGATGTTGTTGATGCTGTTGACTATGACAACGATGGTGACCATGATGGTGTCCCGATGATGATGATGATGCTGATGGTGATGATGACGATGGCTGTGTCCCGCTGGTGATGTTGATGGTGTTGTTGTTGATGATGAGATGACGATGATGTTGATGTTTCTGCCCGTTGTTGATGATGATGATGTTGGTAATGATGATGCTGCTGATGATGGTTATGGTATCCCGATGATGATGATTATGGCGGTGGTGATGATGATGGTGATGGTGATGGTGTACCGATGACGATATTGATGATGATGTTGGTGACGATGATGCTGCTGCTGATGATGGTGTCCCGATGATGTTGATGATACGGTTGATTATGCTGATGATTAAATGATGATGATGGTGTCCAGATGTTGTTGATGATGTTGACGATGACAATGCTGGTGACCATGATGGTGTCCCGATGATGATGATGATGATGACGCTGATGGTGTTGATGACGAAGGCTGTGTACCGATGATGATGGTGTTGCTGACTATGATGAGATGATGATGGGAATGATGATGATGGCCTGATGATGATGGCGCTGATGATGATGACGACAGTGTCCCGATGACGATGAAAATGATGGTGTTGGTGATGATGATGATGACGTTGAATGTTAGATCGATTGTGATATCGGTAGTGAGATCGATAGTGAGACCGAATGTGAGATCGATTGTGAGATCGATAATCAGATCAATTGTGAGACCGAGCGAATGAGATAGATCGAGTGAGATCGATTGTGAGATCGATCGAGTGAGATCGATCGAGCGAGACCGATAGTGAGATGGATAGTGAGACCGATCGAGTGAGACGCTGCATCCCCCCCCCCGAACTTCCTTATCACTCGAAGCGTGGTCGTATAGGTATATTTGTCCTCGTCCTAGATGTCCTCGGTCTCCTCAACCCCTTGCCTCCCGATCCTCCCCGGTGTCATCCTCGCGGTCGCGAGGGGGCCAAAACGGAGCCGGGAAGGAGCCAAAGGGGAACCGAGAGGGAGCCGGGAGGGAGCCTAAAGGGAACCATCTCTTACGACGCCGACCGCGGAGCAGGTCATTGGCAGCCCCTTGTCATTCGCATCTAGGGCCAGGACGCAGCCGGATCCCACGCGGCGGGATCGCCGCGCACATCAGCGAACCAAACGCCCCCTGAGCAGTTCTTGCGGGAGCTTTCCAAGAAGGCCGGGCCGATCGCAGGCTTACAAAGAATATTGCTAATATTCATACCTGGTGACACCTACAGCACTTCGGCCCCGCCGACGCTGAACTCGCCGTTGCGCACATATTCCGTCTCCTTCTAGAAGTGAGGGGCCG